TAAAGCTGTTTATTTGAATGCTTGAAGCTTCTAAGCCTCCATCATAGAGCCAAATAAGCTCTATCATGGAGGCTTAATCCCAGGCCTGGTCCCAAGCTAGTCTGGTAGACATGCTAGTCTGGAGGACATCAATGGTATTTAGTATCAGCTGCACCCTTCTCAGGCTGGATCTACACTACCCCATATCCCAGGATCTGATCCCAGATTGTGTGCTTTAAACTGGATTATATGAGTCTACAATGCCAGATAATCTGGAATCAGATCCTGGAATATAGGGCAATGTAGATCTGTCTTCGTTTCCCTTGACTGCTAACATCGCAGACCAATAGGTCATCAAAACAGTACTACTGCTCCCAGCACATAAATTCTGGCAGCTTAAATGACCACAAAGGAACGTCTCAAAATATTAGAGAATGTGAAGCAATTGATTAAAGCATATTAGATGCCAGAACCAGGAAAGAATGGAGTTTTCAGCTCTCATACCAAGCTGCAATGCTAAACTTTCCTGAATTGGGGAAATGGACATATGGATGCTGCCTGAAGTTTAGTAAGAGAAGAAAGGTTGGCTACAAACTCACTCACCAAGCAAAACTAGAAGTGAAGAAGTACCTTTTGATCTGACTGGTGTTCCCATAATGAATGAAAGCAGGTTGCAGAGTCTTGTTGGAATAGGAAGAACCTTGGTGGAATGAGATCCCAAAATGAGCAGAACCGTAGCAATTGCCCAGCCTTGCTCAAGTCTGGCAGCAGCCACAACAATACTTCATGGTGGCAATATCATGTGTGAACTGTTTTAAGGGCCAGTGAACTGCATTCACTTAGGTACTGCATAAAGCTGCTTGGTATAACAGGTCACTGTATCTCAGCTTCAGTTCCCTACTAAAAAAGTGGAAAGAGGAGAAGAACAATACCAATTTTTCAGGATGGCTAGCAAAAACCCGATACATGATTACATTATTAGTCACAAAAAATCAGGAGCACGTGGAAACATGAAGTTCCCACCCAAATTCAGAATGTCATAATTTCCTGCCTTTGATTAAATCCAGGTGCCTTTCCATTTTTTCTTTGTTTCTTGCATTACAATAAAACTGGAAAGAATTGTGTGCCACCTTTAAGACTGAAGGGTATTGTAAGATTGAAACGTTTCCATTTTACTAGTGCAGTTGTCGGAATCACAGACGCCTTAAAGGGCCAAACTCAGAGTTCCAAAACAGAGTTTATTGAAGCAAAGGAAAAGGACACAGAGACACTTAAACTCAATGCCTCTGGTCAAAACTCAAATGTAAAACCAGACCTGGTTCAAAAGGTAAACAGAAATATAATCCGGATTAACCGGATAAAAGAACCAAATCAAATACAGTACTCCGAGGTCACACAAAGAAGGCACAGCATGCAACTGGTAAACAAAAGCAGTAAAGCCACAGAGAGAGAAGCATAGTCAGGTGAAGTCCAGGGTCGTAGCAAGAGAAATCTGAAATAGCGAAATTCCAAAGTCCACAGAAGCAGCGTCGTAGTCAAGCTGGTCCAAGGTCCAGGAAGGGAGAAATCCACACTCATGAGAATCCAATCCGAGTCGAAAACACACACAATCAGGAACAGTAACCTGCGGATCCCAAACCAATGCCAAACACGAAACAGGCAGCGACAAGTCCAGACAGTACCCAATGCACGAACGTTCACCAACACCTTGCCTTCTGTAAAGATCCCTCATTCCTGAACCCACTTTTATCTACACATCATCATCAGAAGATGAACTGACCACCGCCCCATGATTATCCCTTGCAACTGCTCCCAACCCTTCATGTGAAGCTCTACGCCCATCCCTCCATCTTCTCCATCTCCTGTGAAGACTTAGATTCCCCCCAAGACTCAGTTGGATTCCCCAATTGCCAGTCTTCACTCCCAGAAAATCCCATAAATGTATCACTAGATGTTGGCTCTGCACAAATAGCTTGCACTTCCTTTACCTTAGTCCAATCCACAGTATCATCCCTGTTTTCACCACTCTGTGACCCATCATCCCCAGAAAACCCCTCAAATGAATCCTCATCTGTAGGTGCTGTAAGTTTATCCCAGATCCTCTTTCTTTGCCGTTCCTCATCCGATTCCTGCTCCCAAGTAACCCTCTTTCTTCCCCTAGTCCAATCCAATGTGTCTCCTTCTTCTCCTTCACTCATTGACCTTTCATTCCCAGAGAACCCCTCAAATGAGTCCTCATCTGTAGGAGCTATAAGTATATCCCGGATCCTTTTTCTCTGTTGTTCCTCATAAGATTCCTGCTCTCGAGTAACCCTTTTTGCCTTTCTGGCACCCATACTACTGCTTGCAACGTTACTCACAGGCTCTACTACAACAGCAGAACTGTTTTTCCTGCATGGCAGGGAATCGGACCGGATGACTTGTGTTGTTCTCTTCCAGTTCTATGATTATATGGTTCTAACCATCAGCTTAGCTTATCCCACATCAGCTTTATGATTTCCACAGATTTGCCACCAAATTCCTTACCTACATTTATTAATGCCTCTTGCAGATGATCATAATTTCTTTAAATGCCATCTGAGGAGGTAGGTATGGAATTTTTATGATTTTTAATGAAAGCACAAGAGATGACCAACATGAGTTCCTGCTTTCTATGAAGGCCAAAATGGAGCTACGCTTATGTTTACCTTGAGTTTTGAATATGTTAAATATTTTTTTCATTAAAAAAATACTTCCCAGTCTATTTCAAAGTTGTAATCAAAGTGCCCTCTTGTGCCTTAACTGTGTTACTGCATATATACATTATTTTGCTACCTACAGAATGTAAAACATAGCTTTTCAAGCTGTGTGTTGTGCAGTTATGGACAAACCCAGGCCTGGGGGCTGGATGCAGCCATTTGGGCTCTTTTCTCAGGCCCTCCTCTCTCACTCCTTTCTTCTTTTTCTCTCTTTCCTTCTTCCTTCCCTCTCTCTCTTTCCCTTCCACACTTCCTTCCTCTCTTTTCTTCCTCCTTCCCTCCCTTACCTCTTTCTCCCTCCCTCCTTCCTTCCCTTCTACCCCTTCATCTTTCCTTCATTCCTTCCTTCCCTTTTGTCTTTCCTTTCTTCTCTTTCCTTTATTCTTCCCTGCCTTGCTCCTCCCCTTTCATCCTTCCTTCCCTCGTTCCTCCCTCCTTCCCTCTTTCTCCTTACATCCTTCCACCCTTTCATCCTTCCTTCTTTCTCCCTCTCCTTRGTTCTCCTTCTTTCCCTTTTGTCTTTCCTTCCTTCTCTCTTTCCTTTATCCTTCCCTTCTTTCCTTCCATCATTCTCTTCCTCCCTTTYTTCCTTCGCTTTTTCCTTCCTCCTTCCCTTTCATCCTTCCTTCCCTTTTATCTTTCCTTCCTTCTCTCCCTTCCTCTTTCTCCTTCCATCCTTCCCTTCCTCCCCTTTGTCCTTCCTTCCTTCCTTCCTTCCTTCCTTCTCCCTTTCCTTCCTTCCTTCCAAACCTCTTGCAGCCAGTCCTCCTAGCAGGGAGTGCTAGCATGCAGTCCCCAAGTTAAAAAGTTTGCCCATGCCTCTGTTAGTGTGTTGGCTGCAGTGTGTGTTTTGCACAAACATAATAAGAAGCCTCTGAGTCTATGTAAAAATATGCACAAAATTATATATTTTCAGAAATATCAATGAAGGTTTTCGTGAGACATGTTGTGTCCCCATACATCTTGTTATTACGATTTATATACGTGTCCGTATCTTTTATAAAGAATTGGTTTTACCCCCGGGTTGCTGGTAAAGTTGCTTTGTTGTTGAATGATGCATGCCTAAAAGGTGTGTCACCAACATGAAATATTTAAAAATCTCTGATGTAGGATGATAAATGAATCAAGAAAAATCAATTGTATACTTACCAAGGGCATACATTAACTTTACCTCTCTTTGTAACTGCAGCCTTCACTAACTCAGCCCTCCAGATGTTCTACTGCAGAATACAACTCCCAATATTCCACTGGCCGTGCTGTCTGGTGGGCGTTGAAGCCCCAAACATTTGGAGGGCAGCATGCTGGGAAAGGATTTTCAGTTTGTAAAGCAAAGTTGCACAGTGGCATACTCTTCAACATTTCACAGATATAAACCAGGATACCTGTGGCCAAGGAAGAAGAGAGTGTAGATAAAATAGCAAAATACATTAATGAGAAAGAACACAGAAGTTCGGAGTGGCTGTAGCAATTTGCATTTACATGAAAAGTATGTAAGATTCCATCCTTTCTTCTCCTCTCTTCCCTGTTGAGGCAATTCCTCACCAAACTACAAATCCCAAGATCCCGTAGCATTAAGCCATGGCAGTTAAAGTGGTGTCAAAGTACATTCATTCTATAGTGTAGGTGCATCCTGAATGTGCTTGAAGGCAACATTTCCTAAAACCTGGGCACTTCAGTGCCCTCTGGTAGAGAAATCTAAAGATCTTATCAAACTACAACTCACAGGAACCCATAGTATTGAGCCACTGCAGTTAAAGCGGTGCCAAACTGCATTCATTGTACAGTGCAGATACACTCACATATACATAGAAGGTGGTAATGCACTGTTGATGCTAAATCATCTTTCTGATCACTGCTCGAATACAATTTAGAAGTATTTACTGATCTAAACACTTATTGTATTGTCAAAGGCTTTCATGGCCGGAATCACTGAGTTGTTGTAGGTTTTTCGGGTTATATGGCCATGTTCTAGAGAGGCATTTTCTCCTGACGTTTCGCCTGCATCTATGGCAAGCATCCTCAGAGGTAGTGAGGTCTATTAACCTCACTACCTCTGAGGATGCTTGCCATAGATGCAGGCGAAACGTCAGGAGAAAATGCCTCTAGATTAGAACATGGCCATATAGCCCGAAAAACCTACAACAACCCAGTAAACACTTCTTAACGTAATCAAGAAGATTAATTGCTACTCTATGAGCAATAACAAGCTTCTACACATTAGTTTCCATTGGCATTCGCGCCCGCCCACTTTAACTAATCTGACCCTCGTCCGATTCCGTAGCTCAACCCCGAAGTCGGCTTTTAAGTCCCCGGATGCGGAAGTAGTTTCTCTTTTCTGTCTGACGGTTTAGGTGGCTACGCTGAGCTTCTTGGTAAGCGGCGTTTTGGATCCGGTGCCATCCGTGGCGGGGGGGCCTCGAGGAGTGGGAGAGGGGCCCGTGGGGGAGCCTTGGGAGGCCAGGAGCAGATCGATGGGGTTTGGGGGTGAGAGGAACGGGGGGCGGGCGGGAAAAGTGAGGGAGACTACGGTGCCCCCCCCGCCCTTTCTCCCTTTCATTTGCCATGTTGGTTTCTCTCCCGCAGGTCGCCGCCGCCGCCAGGAGCCGTTACCATGGTGAGTGGGCGGGAAAGGCCACCTTTCTGAGTCCTGGGGGGTGGGACGGGCTCCTTGTGGCCCCTTCCATTTTTGTGAGCTGTGGATACAGAGGCCTAACTGTTCTTCCTGGAAGGGCTTAGGAAGTACAGTTAGGCCTCTGTATCCACGGATACAGAGGCCTAACATCCATCTGCATCCATGGATCCCACAATCCATGACTTGGAGATATTCATAACGAAATCCCAAAGCCAAACCATAATTTTGCCAGCAGATATAAGGAATGCAGTTTTACTTATATATAAGGGGACGTGATTACGCCTCTTGCTATCCATAGGGGTCTTGGAGCCAAACCCCAGTGGATACCAAGGGCCCAATGTAGGTTTAGTAAAGGGAATGAGCTGCAAAACGATGGAAGGCACATGTTTTTTCTACATCTGTGGCCCAGTAAGCCATGTTATGCATGCTGCTGTGTGAGAGTATTTCTCTATAAGTGTCTGTCACTGAATCATTATGCAGACACATTTGCTATTTTATATTGCCTCTCCAATCTCCACAAGTGGCTAATACAGTTTTCAATTCAGGACCATCCTCGAGACTCAGCCTCCTTCCACACAGTGGGATAAAATCCCGCACTATCTGCTTTGAATTGGAATATATGGCAGTGTGAACTCCAGTAACCTAATTCAAAGCAGATATTGTGGGGGTTTCTGCCTTGATATTATGGGTTCTAGGGGTGTGTGGAAGAGCCCTTAGGGGGAGGCTCATTTGACATTAAGTGTTGATCATACCTTTGCCATTCAGATACATACACGGAGAATGCATTTTCATTTTTGGGTTTGGTTTTTGTTCTTGTTTTTGTCGTGTCAGGAGCAATTTGAGAAACTGCAAGTTTCACAGCCATATAACCCAGAATATCAAGGCAGAATAACCCACAACATCTGCTTTGAACTGGTTTATCGGAGTCCACACTGCCATTTATCCCAGTTCAAAGCTGATTTTGTAGGATTTTATTCAGCTGTGTGGAAGGGGCCTTAGTTTATTTAGGAGATGGAATAAGAAACATTTAAAGTTTCCAACTGGTGGTCCTTCCACCTGAAACCAATCTTGCCAAGAAAATTGTATAATAAATCAGAAATGTTTTGAAGGTACACAATAACTTGCTTTAGCTAGAAGGTGGATTGAAATCAAGATTGAGGGTGAGCTCTGGCACCTCAGTGTCCAGTCGAGAGTAAGTTCACAGACCCCTTGGAGAGTCTTCTCAAATAACTTAAGCCTTGCAAATTATAGTGAGCTGTGGCACAACACCCTTTCCTCTTGCCCAGAGCTGAACAAAGATAAATGAGAACTTTATGTGTCCCCACCATGAGATAATGCATGAAAACAGAAGACTGGGGGGCTGGCTGTGATGTTTAGTTGTCTTGATATCTCACAAGCATCTCTTGGCAATTAATATATTATATGTACACTAGAATCCTTGTATTTGTGGTTTCATTTATCCATCTCCAACAAAATGTGCCATGGGTTGCTATGAGTTTTACAAGCTGTATGGCTTGCTCCAGTAGCATTCTCTACTGATGTTTCACCTTCATTTGTGACTGACATCTTCAGAGATCTGTTTGAGGTGAGATAAGTGATGTGTGTGTGTGTGTGTATGTATATATATATATATATATCTGTAGAATGTCCAGGGTAGGAGAAAGAATCCTTGTCTGTTTAAAGCTGGTTTGACTGTTGCAATTAGCAAGCAAACTTGAGTAGCCATGAAGCTGCAAAGTCAATCATTGAGGGTATCTGCATAGAGATAGCCTGGCTATTATTGCCTGAAGACATCCTCTTTTTGGTAGGCATTCACTGCCACTTGATTGTTTGCTGTTGGAGTTCCCTTGTTGACTGGTTTTCCTTATTTAGTGTCTTGATTCTCGTGTTTTAGTACTAGTAACCAAATTTTGTACATTTTCATGATTTCCCCCTTTTTCTTGAAACGGTTCACGTGCTTGTGGATTTCAATGGCTTCTCTGCGTAGTCTGACACAATGGTTGTAGTCTGACATGATGGTCTCACATCCTGGACATTCCATAGATATATATACACTCCACGTGCCTCATCTCAAACAGACCTCTCAAGATGCCAGCCACCTATGCAGGCAAAACGTCAGGAGAGAATGTTACTGGAACATGGCCATACAGCCCAAAAAAAACTCATAGCAACTCAGTGATTCCTGCCGTTAAAGCCTTCGATTACAAAATGTGTCCTTTCTAATCTTTTTCTACATCCTCCATTATGACTCTATAATACTCTCAGGCTTTCCTTCAACTATTGAAGTAAATTATCTACAGCTTGTTATATCTATACGAAGTCCAGAAACATGGATACAGGGGTCGTATTATATGCTTGCAGGAGGCTTGATGTTTCTTTCCTTAGCAGCCTTGAATGTTAGGACATCCCTTATAATTCAGTGTGCTAAATATCTAAATTCCTTTTGGGAATATCAGTTGCAGAGCAATCCTTGCTTCCTGTGACAGATCAATACACTTGCCCTCATAACAGATTCTGAGGTTTCCTTCCTACTTTGAAAGTCCAGGGAAGGGTGATGACATCCCAAGTGTTGCAAAGCAGTCCCTGCAGCTTTCAGATTTGGCTGAAAGGCTGGGAACTATTAGATAGTGATGTGAACTTAGTCACATAGAACCCATCAATCCACTACTCTTGGGTTTTCTTTCCCTCATGTACAAAAGGGCAATACAGAGGAGGCACTTGGGGTCATCTATATGCTACTGCTCAGCCTTCCCATTGGAAACAGCCTGGGAAGATTGGATCAAAATAAAACTTCTTTAAGGTACTTGGGTGAAGCTCAATACAGCATACTCCTGAATGGACTGGTGAGAAAGGAATGTTGTTCTTAGGGGGCACTCATGGTGCCATTAAAGAGAAGAAGACAACCCTGAAGTCTGACTTTTCTCCTTAAAGGAGGAGGAAAACAGATCGAAGTGCCTTCAACCGATCCCTCACCCACTCATGCCCCTGGGTGAGCTTGCAAAGATTATAGACTCCATTTTTTTGAGGTTCCTACCTGTTCAGAATGTGTTGTGTGGAAATTTGAAGGAAAGTTTATCAGAGGTAGGAGGTAAATTTACTTTAGAAATGCATAGGACAGAAAACATGTTTTCATAAACTATTTTCTTATCGCAGCCTCGCAAAATTGAAGAGATCAAAGACTTTTTGTTGACAGCTAGGCGGAAAGATGCTAAATGTGAGTAATGATAACTAGCTTTGGTTTTGTCTGTGGGTGAATTTTTTTGCTATTTTCCCTGCAGAGTTTATGTACTTCCTGTCCTTTAATTTTGTGAGTCCCCTTTGGTCACACTCTGGGAGAAAAGACAGCATATAAATGAAATAAATCAATAAATAAACACTTCTGGTGCCACAAGCAGCTTGAGAGTGATGCAGCATGTTATTAAATAATACTAGTAACCTGTTTTTTCCTTGTCAAAAGACCTGCAATGTTATAAAAGTGGACGCCTCTGATTGGGAGTCCATGCAATTCTCATTTTAATTTTCACACTTGACTTGTGTGCCTTAGGTGTGGGCATAAAAAGATACTTGCTTCTCATTTGAGCTGTTCTGTGTTTCATGTGTCTTTGTATGTACACATCTAGCTAGCTCCATCCTTTATTGAACCATTAGGCTTTATAGTCTCTTCTGTGAAATGTCACCTGGTTATGTGTAAAATTCTGCACCTGGATGCAAAATTGGATAGTAGACTCTACATAAGATTTTCTCATTACAACAATTATTAGAATTGAGTGAGTTGCAGAAAAGGGAAAAGACAAATGTAACAAGCATCTAAAACGTCCTGCATATGATAAATGTTCACCAATATTTGGATTCCTTTGGAGGAAGGCATTATTTTTTTCTTCATCATGAAATGATAATTTAGGTCAGAGTGAAACCTACTGCTATGAGATTTTAAAAATTGTGTAGGTTAATACCACACAATCTCCTTTAGAACCAGGTATCTGATGTTTAAGATTCCTTAATGGTCCAAGATAGAATCTTCAATGGAGTCCAGAAACAAATTGGTAGCAAGCAGAACCAGAGTTTGAGCTTAATCAACTTGTACCAGAAGCTTGGCAATCATGTTCTCTACTAGTTGTAGTTTCCTATGTTTTTTCAAGGACAGATAATCAGTTCTATATATTATCTAGATATTACCAGGAGATGAATAAATAAATCAAAAATCAGCAGTATTACATTTTATGAGTATTTATTTCAGCATCGGCTTGTTGATCTTAAAACAGTAAAACAAACCACAGACCTTCTGTGTCTGATTTGTTTACCGTGAGGTGAAATCCACCATTTGTTTCATGATCAACATGAGGGAAAATATGTGGTTGCATTATGTCTGTGTATTGTGTCTTCAAGCTGCCTGTTCATTTATGGTGACCCTATGAATTTTCTGGGGTTTTCTTAGGCAAGGAATCCTCAAAGGTGGCTGGCTTTCCAATTCCTTACAATGAAATATAGTCTTCAGAACCTCATATTCATTGGTAGCCTTCAATCCAAGTATTAACTGGGACTATCCCTGCTCACCTTCCAAAATTAGATGGAATCTGGTGCTTTTAGGGTGCTTACATTATACGATCTATTTGAGAAGCCGGAGAAAATATCTAGTGTACAAATCCATACTGGTGCATACCATGATTCGCTAAATCATGAACAGGGAAAACAATTTTTAATTAGACATAATCAGGGGCAATACATAACTTTTCTTGAATAATAAATGAGTAAACTGTCAGTATATCCTTCCTACAATACAGTGTTGCTTTGTGCCTCTTTGAGTGGTGCTTTCAAATACCATACCACTTTATGATGATTTTCATCAGTTTCATGTGCCTTACAGCTGCTGCTCAGGACTCTTGAAAACTTGTTGTGAATGTTGTTTCCATCCATGCTAAGATTCAGAAGGAATCTAGCTCTCAGACAATTTTCTGTCAGTAACTAGACACCACCTTTGAAGTGGTTTTGCATAGCTATAAATATATGGGTTGTTACCATGAACTGCACAGCCCAACGAAAAAACCTTGTTGTCTTAGTTTTTAGCCCTGTTATGGGGTTATTTGTGGTGCTGATTCAGAAGCATTGGGTAGACCACATCAGCTCTAGTTTCTTAGCTATTTCTCGAATGACTGGGAAATCTGTGTTATAAATGTGTGCTTTTCTTATGTTGTATTATAGTACAATTTTATTTTAATTTTTAAATAATATATTTCCTTCATGCTTAAAAGATATTAATTTAAACACTACAATAAAATATCCATATTTTATGGGTAAGCAGAGGATGAATGCTATATGGCATATGTACTCTATCTCAAGAACTAGAGCTAATAGGGGAAAGCTGGTGGCATTTTTGGAATCAGCAGGTCAAATATACGCAGAAACAGGGCTAACGTTTGAGGCAACAAAATGTGTGTTGACCAGTGTTATTAAATATGGGGTGAGTGCTATAAGGTGCAATGTGGTATTTAGAGGTTGCTTGTTTACAGAAACTTGCTTATTGTGAGTTGAAGCAAGAACTAATTTGTTTTTATTTATTTAAAAAAAAACCCAGTTTGTCTCAAAAAAGTAACATGATATGCTGCAATTCTGATGTTTTATTCAGCTTGTTGTTTGGATCCTATATTGCTAATCCCAATGCTCTTGCATTGTAGCTGTCAAGATCAAGAAGAACAAAGATAATGTCAAGTTCAAAGTTCGATGCAGTCGGTATCTGTATACCTTGGTCATCACTGACAAAGAAAAAGCTGAAAAACTGAAGCAATCTCTGCCACCAGGTAACTGAATGATACAGGAAATGGAAGGGCACTACTGATTATACTAGCCCTTTAATGTTTATTTCCTATGCTTTCTGTCTGTTTTTGAGTGTTAGTAGCAGAATATTCTTGTCCAGGGTAGTTTCTGTTAATTTTTCAAACGTTCAAGGTGTTTATTAAAGTCAGGTCTCATTTTGAAGAGATACAATATCATTTTTTAAATTAGGAATCCTACTAAAATAAATTTTATATCAGTCCTAACTGTCTCATGATACAACTAAAGTAGGTAAGTGAAACTAGTGGAACTTAACCATAGACATAGAAAAAAATAATATTAAATGGACGGAAATGTATTTAATAGTGGGTAATCAAAAATAGTACTAGTGCTTGTATCTATTTCAGCAGTTGCATTCGAAACAAGAATACATAGAAATTTTTGTCATGAAAAAATGGAAACATTTATTTCTCTTTTAGTCAAAATGCATTATGACGGTAGAGGAAATACTTATTTTTGCCCCAGAGTTTGTAGAAGTGGTGGGCTAATAAACATTGCTTCTGGAGTGTAGTGTTTAAATATCACTTGTCTAGGAGGAAAGCCAGTAAGAAAATCCAGATAAGTCAACCTTTTAAAATGACACATTGGATATTCACTGACATTTCATATCAAGCCACAGCAGCAGTACATTTTTGAAACTATCTCTGAACCTTCAGATCATCTAGTTCACAAGCAAGCAGCCAGCATGTCTCTTGCATACAGTAACAAACTTCAGCAGCCTTTGTGTGGGATGTCATGAAAACTCTTTTGAGAACATGATCACCTTGCAGGCAGAAGTTACATGTCCTTCATATCTACTTACCATCTTTATTTCCCTTCTCTGTAGGTCTGGCTGTGAAAGAGCTGAAGTGAGCTGGTCATTCCTGGAATTTGTCCTATGGATAGTAATAAAGGGGTCAAATGTTCTGCCTTCTCAGTGTTTTCTTTAAGGGGTAGATTGAGCAGTCTGCTCTTCATGCTGTTTTATTCGTTAGGCAATTGCAACTGTTTGTGGACTCCAGTCTACAGAGTCCACAGTTTTACAAACGATGTGCACCCAATAGAAAGAGGAAGGGAAACTAATTCTTAATCTGCCATTTTTTTCATAATAAAAGTCTATAGTTAAAGGCAGGGAAAACAGTAAAATTGAGTACCCAAATTCAGTCTCTCTCTGAAGAAATTCTCTAATAAAATTTGAAATCCTGCAGTATGAATTTATGGACAGACTTCTGCTCCCACAACTTCTAACAACTGGTAAGCTGGCTGGGATTTCTGGGAGTTGAAGTCCAAAACAACTGAACAAAGGTAGGGAACCACTGATCTAGAAATTTAGGTGAAAGTAGGATTCATTTAGCCTGCTCAACTTGTAGCCTAACCTGTAATTCTCTGTAGCAAGATTTGCATCTCTCCCCAGGCTGCCCCTAGAGAGAGGCTCTAGCAGACTGCACTGCTGCATAAAATCTGAAGTGAATAGTTTTCAGTTGATTTGGGGACTTTTATGAATGGTGGGGACAGTGACTTCTTTTTCAATACAATTCTTTTAGGGGATTGAAGGCTTAGGAGCATCCTGAGGGCTTCAGGGATTTGTGTCTGACATACAATTTATATGTTACATTTTTGTCTGTCCTGTTGTATTGCTCCCAATTGAAAGGAATGTTTCTCTACAGAATTTAAAATGCTTTGTAGAAGAAAAGAATTGCAGCAAATCACATAATACCTCAGAAATGTTCATGTAGGATGTTTTTAGTCTACATATTTTCCAGGTGTGAAGAGCCCTTGAGTAAATAAGGAAATTAACCTAAGGTTCAAGCTGCTAAAAAATAAAATTTGTGAAATACCGACTGTATAGTGCTTGAATTTAATTCATAGCAGGTCGTTAACATTCAGTAGTCAAGGTTGTGTATTTTCTATACAAGCCAGAAGCCTCTTAACATATAAGACTCATTAAATTTTACTGCAACATAGTTTGTCCTTGCAGACCAGAATCGGTTTCTGAGCAAATTTATTTTCCCCAAAAAAGATATTAAAAAGCAGCAAAGCCATTCAACAGAAAGCATCCCACTGTACTCCAAATCTAATAAATGCAACAATGTGAGCAGAGATCATTATTTTACAGTGCAGCTATTCAGTCTACTTGGAATGTAGTGCTGATTCGTGACTTGAAGTTAAATTGTTGTAAAGATAATTCTCTGCTTAAACTACTTGAGCTCTAGAACTTTCTGCATCTTTTTTTACGTGTACTCAAGCTCAAGTACAGTTTTAAGGACAGAATTCTCTAGAACAATTTGCAGCCTAGCCTGTCAGGCACAAATCTCTTGGAGCTCCCACTTCTAAACCTCTAAACCAAGCATGGGCAAACTTTTTTGCCTTGGGGCCGCATTGCGGGCCCAACAGAGGTCCGGGCCATCAGGGAGGGCAGCCAGGTACGTGCTGGGCGGGACCGGCCGGGGAGGGGGTGGAGGGCCTGGGTCTTCCTCAGGTTGTCCTCCTGGCATAAAGATGGGGCTGCTCAACCCATCCTTATACCAGGAGGAAAATGAGACATGCGGTGACTGTGCTGATCCTCCTCCCCTGGTCTTTGGGCTGAGACCGAGAAGGTGATGGCCGAGAGTGCTCCTGAGGGCTCTCGGCGGCTGTGTGCCTTCCTCGGGCCATCCTCTCAGCATAAAGACTCTCAGCTGCTGTGTGCCTTCATCCTCTGTTCTTTCTGCAGAAGCATGTGGTGGGCAGTGTCCTTTTGCTGAGAGGACAGAGAAAATGAGGGTCTGAGGTAACTGCCCAGGGAGCTGTATCTGGCCCCCAGGCCTTAGTTTGACCATGTCTGCTCTAAACTCTTTAAAAAATACTGGAAAAGAAGCCATTGTCCCCACCGTCCATGTAATCCCCCAAATTGTTTGAACATCTCTTCAAAGACCCAAATATACAACCTTAGGTACAGAAGGAGATTTTTTTAAAATACAATGTTTCATTGTGCCATGTATTTTACAGTGATGCAGTGCAGTTATTACCGGAAAGAGTGAGGGCAGCTTCTTTAGTTTCTGTCTTACCTGCAGATCTGTTCAGACATAGAACTTGTTTGCTTCCGAGAAAAGCATATCTGTAAAGATATTTTTTGAACATCTCTGTTACTAAAGCATACACATACTGCACCATTACAGAGTTTGATTCCATTGTAGTTGCTGTGCCTATCCTCCAAGGGATTTTGGGGATTGTGATTTGCCAAGAGACTTTGCTAATAAATTCTTTTAGTGGTGCCTTTGGGGCTCCCTGGCAGAGAATTCTAAACCCTTCACGAGACCACACATCTGAGGAGTCCATAGAGCAGAGCCATAGCAGTTCATGTACTCAAGAGCTAGAATTGCACTGTGTGGATGCATATTAAGACTTGCAAGAACCACCAACCTCAAAAAGGTCTTACTGTTTTTTACTTTTGTCTTCTACGGTTGATAGGGACAATAAACAAATTGACCATATCAACAGTAAAAGACAAAAGTAAGTTTTTAAAAATCAATAGATCTATTTACCAGAAGAGAATCTCTTCTGAGTAAAAAGGATACTTTATGTGTAGGAGTCCAAAGAATATTTGAAAGAGGGGTCTTTCTGTTGCCAGCTTACAGGAAAAAGGGCATTTGTTCTATATTAAACTCCTTGGCTTCCATAGCAGCTGTTTAGGAAATGGAATAATCTGAAAACAAGCCGGCAACGGAAAGAAAGAGTGTTCTGTGTGTCAGTGCAAATTGTCAGGTCCTGTGCTGGTCTTTATCCCAATGGAGCCCCCCTGACAAAGAAGGCATGTACCCACTCTGCCTCATAACACACCTCTCATCTCATATTTCATGCAAATTCTCAAAACTTTTCATGTGATTTTAGGATTTGTACTATGATAATCGAAATTAGTCAGTCAAAGGTTGGGGAAAAAGTTTTAAATATAGAACAAAAATGTATGTATGTAAATCTTAACAGACTCTCAAGAAAGTAATATACAACAATATTCTCTATTGACATAACTTGTCTGAGACTTTATAGCATTAAACAAAACTGTTATCAGCACATTAACACTTTATAGCATTAAACAAAACTGTTATCAGCACATTAACATAGAGAAATAAGTAACAGACTAAAGGTAATAGAGTCCATCCTTTCAGTAAAGGAATTCAAAGGTCTCTATCTTTGTCTTCAAAAGAGTTCTTCTTTTAGCAAGACAGTCTCAAGGAATTCTTCTTAGACAACAAAGTCTTTCTTAGGCAACAAAATCTCTACAAGGTCTTCCGGAATGTTATCCTTGTTTCGAACAATTATCTTCCTCAGGGTGTAGTCTGTTATCATATTATGTTTAGTGCACTAGATAAGGAGTAGAAATAACATACACAATAGATACATGAAACCCCCAAAATAACATTGCTAGAAAAACATTTTGTAATGACAATAAAGAAACACGATACTCTACTCACATTCTCTTCAGTAACACAGGCTCTGTTGTAGTAGGAGTTCTATAACGAGCAATGAGTCCTAGCTTGGCTGTCTCTTAAGTAGAATTATAACTCACAAGAAACAAGTGTACTCAATTTTGTCATTTAGTCCTAGAGGAACCAGAGACAGCCAAGCTAGGACTCATTGCTCGTTATAGAACTCCTACTACAACAGAGCCTGTGTTACTGAAGAGAATGTGAGTAGAGTATCGTGTTTCTTTATTGTCATTACAAAATGTTTTTCTAGCAATGTTATTTTGGGGGTTTCATGTATCTATTGTGTATGTTATTTCTACTCCTTATCTAGTGCACTAAACATAATATGATAACAGACTACACCCTGAGGAAGATAATTGTTCGAAACAAGGATAACATTCCGGAAGACCTTGTAGAGATTTTGTTGCCTAAGAAAGACTTTGTTGTCTAAGAAGAATTCCTTGAGACTGTCTTGCTAAAAGAAGAACTCTTTTGAAGACAAAGATAGAGACCTTTGAATTCCTTTACTGAAAGGATGGACTCTATTACCTTTAGTCTGTTACTTATTTCTCTATGTTAATGTGCTGATAACAGTTTTGTTTAATGCTATAAAGTGTTAATGTGCTGATAACAGTTTTGTTTAATGCTATAAAGTCTCAGACAAGTTATGTCAATAGAGAATATTGTTGTATATTACTTTCTTGAGAGTCTGTTAAGATTTACATACATACATTTTTGTTCTATGTTATTATAGATACTTGTGCATTGTTTGAAAAAGTTTTAAAACCTTGAAAATATAAAGTCAATGTCAATCTTAGATCTACTGAAATAAAGTCCACACATATGCAGGTCCAATTGAGATCAGTCCGTGATTAACATAAAATAGTCTCAATTCCCTAAATCAAGTATGTCAAGCTCATTTTCACTGAGGACCACATCAGCCTTCAAACACGTCATTGTTTTCTGAAGTACAGATGGTCCTTGAGTTACAAACATCTGACCTACAAATTACTCATAATTAAAAATGGGGAGAGACAACGGGAAATGAGAGAAATCTCCCCCTTGTCAGAGAAATTCACTCATAGAATCATAGAGTTGGAAGAGACCTCACGGGCCAACCAGTCCAACCCCCTGCCAAGAAGCAAGAAGAACTGAAAGAGTTACCATGGGGGAAAGGTGTCTCCACTGAAACTTTTTATCACCAATCCTTGTTTCCACAATAAGCCAGGTTTTTAAAGTCCACAGGGACAGAGAGTTAGGTGAAATCTGAACAGGGACACAGCAAAATAAACACCATGGAGCTGGGCATGTTTAGCCTGCAGAAGAGAAGGCTGAGAGGAGACATGATGGCTATGTCAAAATATGTCAGGGGACGTCATAGGGAGGAGGGAGCTTGCTTTCTGCTACTCTGGAAACTAGGACACTGAACAATGGCTTCAAACTACAGGAAAGGAGATTCCACCTGAACATTAAGAACTTCA